AAACATTACACACAAACACACACTCACAAGGACAGAAACACACACCAAAACACTAACTTACACAAACACCCGCTCACAATAAATACACACACACACAAACATAAACACACACACACACACACAAACAAACACACACACACACAACTCACTCACTCACTCACTCACTCACTCCACCACCAGATCACATCACCATGTCATATTAGGATACCATGGCCTTTATATTTAAACAAAAAAATTCTTAACCAAGAAAGATCAAACAATTACATCTTGAGGAATATAATGTAGATTTAAATATGACCACAGCGTAGGATTACACCACTGAGCTTACTGTTCAGAGATGATCCTGCTTTTAAAGATTTACGACTTTCTACTTTAAAACGGAAAGGATTAATTGGTGCCATTTAACACTGTAACATGACATGGCTGACATTATCAGAGAGGCATTAAAGAGGATTCCCTCAACCCCTCCCTTCCAGGAGCCAAAGTTCAAGCTGCTTAAGCGCTTTTCTTTATTCCATAAGCTAATACAGTTTCACACAAGCCATTGTGACAACTGACTTAAGCTATTTAATGAAATTCAATGGGATAAGCAGCCAGGAAATCCCCCCGCATGTATGTATATGCGGTGGAGGCGCCAAGAAAATAAAATTGCAACATGATTGAGATTGAGGCTAACTCGATTTCACACACCGAGTTAATTTATAGCATGCGACGGAGATACTACATTTTATTTACACACAGATGGGCGGTGAATAAAAAAAAAAAAGCGAAGCAGCGAGCCATCTGATATTCTGCTATAGTTCTTTTATGAACCTCTACTGGATTCAATTTTTTTTCCCTGCAGCTGGCAACCCTGTGTTGCGCAAACCTCTGCCAACATAGAGAATGGAGTCTGTTTTACAATGCGCATCTTGAATTTTTAAAATGATGCCTCAATATGATGCCGTGATTGCCATGAGAAGGATTTGCTGGTATTATTGATGCTGCTCACTAAGATTTCACAGAATCTTATATGACAACCTTGAACATCTGACTATGTAATTTGACTTGATGGCAGAATATCTGAGTGGTGGTGAAAAGTGTGGATTTTGCCGGGAGTTAGGGGTGTTTTTTTTTATGTTTTTGTTTTCTCCACAATCGATCGAACATGAGCACAACACATGTTAACAGCCCATATTACAGTTGCATGTTAGATATGGGAATAGGTGAGTGGTTCAATTTTTCAAGTAGACTTGATACTCATGTTTTACTGTAAAATATGGTATAATAATAATAATAATAATAATAATAATAATAATAATTCTAATAATAGGCGTCACGGTGGCAAAGTGGGTAGCACAATCGTCTCACAGCAAGGAGGTTCGTGTGGGTTTCCACTGGGTGCTCCAGTTTCCCCCACAGTCCAAAGACATGCGTTATAGGTGAATTGACTAAAGCTAAATTGGCCATAGTATATGTGTGAATGAGAGTGTATGGGTGTTTTCCAGTGTTGGGTTGTGGCTGGAAGAGCATCCGCTGCGTAAAACATGTGCTGTATAAGTTGGTGGTTCATTCTGATGTGGCGACCCCAGATTAACAAAGGGACTAAGCCGAAAAGAAAATGAATGAAAAAATGAATGAATTAATACAATACCAAATAAGTGGATCTTATTGGATTTGCAAACAAAGCAAGTCTTTCATATAAAATATTTACTAAAATAAATTAAATATTACTTAAACTGTATTGTACTGTAAATTGTAAACATTTTCATATTAGTGAATAATATTACTGAAATTATTTAACTACTGATTTCTACAAGTAAATAAATAGACTCCGTAGAAATCTGTGGATTTCTGTGCGCGCAGATTTCGTGTGGTCCTAGTCATGAAACTGGATTAGGGCTCATCCACACCGAATGAATCTATGGTTAAAAAAAAACGGGTTGCAGTGCTCAAGAATGAGTTTTAAAAAGTGCATCGCAGCGCGAGGTCCACATGATGTGATATTATGAACGTGATTCCCTATTTCTAATAAGTCCATTATTATGAACAATAGTAATGGATCCATTAGAAATAGGAAAACATTGTTTTGATTAACGCTTGAAGATACGTCATATAACTAAGGATATTATGGACAAAGCCACAATGATGCCTCCTCTGCTATTCATTCATTCATTCATTCATTCATTGATTACGCGTTGCCACAGAAGAATGAACTGCCAACTTACTCTGTATACACTCTTGCATTCACACACATACACTACGGCTTATTTAGCTTAATCAATTCACCTACACTGCACGACTTTGGAAAACTGGAAAACACGGTGGAGGCCTCCTCTGCTGTAATGGTAAATAAAACAGTTGTCAGCATGTCAGCGTGTTTGAAGCTTAGCGATGGCGTGATCGCCATAACAGCATCAACCACTGAAATTAGACCACAACTGACTACTGTCTGAGCTGGGGTATTTAAATAACTCGATCTGATCTGCTGACGCTTCCGTTGGAAAAGTTGAGAAATTCCCAACTTTTCGGCGGGAAATGCCAATGATGATGTACAACTTAGTACGGCAATGCTTGATGTCACCCATTAAAAATAAATTGGGAAGCGTTAGCGATGATGCTGTGTGAATTGTGTGTAACGGTAAAACACATCCGTCAAGCACGTGTTTACATAGGAAAACAATAGAAAGGTAGCACACTGGAAAAGAAAAAATGCATTCTGTGTGAACCGCCCCTATATTAGGCAAAAAATTCAGCTTTGACATTCAGTATACGTATATATAATAAAACAGTGAACCAATAATTTGCTGCAATTGCAATATTATTTTAGAATTCAACTTTGGTTCCTCATAAAGCTTTGGTGATCTTAAAAAAAACTTGGCTTAAAAATCTTAATGTCCAATTCTGACCGGCAGTGAGTATACAGTATACAATAAATATCTGTTCTCAGCAACTTTTCTTCTAGTAAACAGAGGCCCCATGTGTTATTTTGTATTGTCATTTCAAATGCAAAAATACTTGACCTTGGTCACCCCGTGTCACAGTAGGCTAATCTGGGAGCCTCTGTGTGGTATTAAAACTCATCTGTGTGGTAAAATGAAACATAATTACATTTCCAATTACGCTGAGGCATTGTTGGGACTGGGATAACCATTGACATTTTCTCTTGAAATTATGTGCAGCATTTTCCCCTGCAAAGGATTAGTCTAATCCAACATCTTGGGGGCTTTATTATTATTAATTAGACAAAATGCTTAGTGCTGGGAATTGCTAGTATAATTTAACAGCTAATTAATATGCAAGCTCTGGAAACAAGATTTGGTATTTCATCAACACAGTCGCCACATGGCGAAAAAGCATTTAAAATGAACATTTGAATATGCTTATGAGCCTTGACTCGCAGGACTCACAGGATATGATAATAATTGAGGGGAAATTTGGAATATTTAATCCACTTGGGGGATTTGGAGGGGTGGTGGGGTCGTGGGGTTTGCTTATGATGCATTTTCCTAATGTCTC